TGTTTTCAACAGCATTTGATGCTTTGATGCTAAAAAAAAACTTCTGACTAGAATTTAGGCAAAAGATTTTTTGCAAAAATAAATCGCAGTTTTAACCCCTACGATATATGAAGATTATAGATACAACCTTCCACTGTCTATGAGACCATAGCTTAAAAATTTTGCAACTGATGACAATGCCTGAGCTGTCACTGGACCATTTGTTTGATCTGAACGTATTACTTCAAGGAATGGCCCAACAAATGTATCTGGACTCATGTCTGACAAGTCATTAACCTAAAAGGGGATGAATTATAATGTCGAATCTAACCATGTGGAGTAGGTGCAAAACAGCAAGAATTCTAAAAAAATGTAAAATAAATAAATTGATTATAAATTTATGCATGCAATATAGTTAAGGAAAAAAAAAAGTGATATGTTTGGACGAACCGAATATAAAACATCTCGAAGATCTGAAAAATTTCTCAACAGCGGATCAGTTTCATCTAACGGTGATGCTAATAAACGTTGCTGATGATGGGACCATCCTCTATGAGCTTTTTTCAGCAAAGCAACAACGGCATTTGATTCTCCTTGTACTATGTACAATCCATTGACAGCCATAGTAATAAGTATAGAAAATACCCTGATAAAGAACAAGGTCACCAAACTACGTATGAAGAAGTGTGATTAAAAAATCATAAATATTTAACAAAATATCTTTTGTTATAGAAAAAAGAGCAATGTAAAAAAGCGTTGATAATCCACTTAAAACTTCCTAAGATTAAAAAGCAATAGAGACAAGGAAAAAGCATTTTTTGAAGTAAAGGTTCAGAAAAACAGACTAGAGCCGTAGACCTGAAATGGGACAAAGCGAAGGAGAAATGTTACATCAGAATAAAGTGAGAGGAAGATTTCTAAGCCAGATTATGGAACTTTTCTCTTCCACGTATTAAAAAATTACGCAGCATAACCCAACTAAAAACATGTTTTTTTTTTTTTTTTCCAGCATTTCGTAAGTAAAAATGAGATCAATATAAACGAAAATAAAGCAAAACTAATAAAGTTCTACTGAATTCAGTTAAGAAGTATTCATTAAACTCCACACACATACATTTACTAAAAAGAAAAAAAAAAAACTAATTTCACAATGTTTTACGCAGACACCGCAAAATGCTACATACAACAAAAAAACCAGAATAAATATCTTTCTTCTAAAAAAAAAAAAAAAAAAAAACTGATTTCTAACAATAAATTGAAAAATTGTGACAATGAAATAATTGCTAAAAAATGTGAAAAAATATTAAAATAAAGAAAAAAACTCTTGAATTCATAAGTTTGAAAAAAGAAAAATTTTTTTTATTAGATTCTATCCAACTAACTTTCAAAGATGGCTGTCAACAAAGATAATCCTCTGCTAACCAAATGTATCCAAATGTTTTATACAACGTGGCGAATTTATTATTGAGCTCCAAAATTTCATTTTGGTTTTGGAGCAATTTTTTGTTACTGCCGTTGGGTCTTTGTTGTGTATGAAGTTGCAAAATAAGGATGTCAGACGAGACTGGCGTTGAAGTAGACACAGATATTTGGCTGAATGCTTCTTATGCCATATGTTGTTCAGCTTTTGGCTAAGTGCAATCCATGAACAAGATTCTGGAAAGATCCAGTTTTCTGAGCTCTTTCACTGTTATTTA